CATCGAATGTAGAAGTTGGAAATTCTAAGTTTCATTAAGCTTGAATTGGAGCATGATTCGTGATTTTAGCGTCGTTTTATGTGATTTGAGGTTTCAAATAAGTTCATATGATATTTTAGGACTTGTTGGTATATTTGGTTGAGGTCCCGAGGGCCTCGGGTGAGTTTCAGATGGTTAACACATCAAGAATTGGATTTAAAATGCCCAAGATCGAGCCCAGATATCGAGCCCAGAGTTGACGGCAAGGGTCGAAGCCAGAGACGAGGCTTAGGGTCGATGCCTTGATTGAAGGCCTAGGATCGATTCCATGATCGAAGGCCCAGAATCGATACCATGATCGAGGCCATGATTGAAGGCTCAGGCTCGATGCCATGATCTAAGACTGAGGCTTGATGCCTGGATCGAGGCCATGATCGAAGGACCAGGCTCGATGCCATAATCGAGGCCATGACCGAGGCCCAAGCTTGAGCCTGTGATCGAAGCCACGATCGAGGCATAGGCTCTAGGGCCATGGTCGGAGCCACGATCGATGCCCGGTTCCGAAGGCTGCCCCGACAGATTTATAAAAGAGGGCATTCGTCCCATTCACCATTTTTAACAAATTGGAGTTTGAGTAGAGGTGATATTTGATAGATTTTCAAGGAAAGACATTGGGGTAAGTGATTCTAACTCGGATTTGGTCTATGTACATAATTATATCATTATTTTCACCATTTAATTAGTTTTTTGAGATTGAAATTTGGAAATTTTTTGAAATCTCATAGAAACGAATTTTTGAGATTTCGGTATCGATTCAGAGTCGGATTTGAGTAAAATTGGTATGGCTGGACTCGTAATTGAACGGGTTGTCTTATTTCGTAACTTTCTCCGAATTCCAAGACGTGGGCCCCACAAACGAATTTTTAATTAATTTTAGATTTTTATTAAAAATATAGTATTTTCTTATAGAATTGATTCCTATAATTTTTAGTGATTGTATCGAATTTATTTTGGTTAGATTCGAGCCAATCAAAGTTGGATAATCGAGGAAAAGGCCTACTAGTGGATTAAACTGGAGCAAGACGAGATAAGTCTCTTGTCTAATTTTGTGAGGGAAAAATTACCCCATAGGTAATTAAAGTAATAATTGTTNCACTCTGGATCGGGCCGTATAACCTCGGCAAAAATTGTGCTTAATAATAATAATAATTACACGATACGTTGATAGTTTATTGCAGCTTGTGAAGCTAATTGATAAATTGAAAATCATTGGAATTTAAAGAATTATTATCTCTACTTGTTAAGGAACTATTGTTTTTCCTGTAAATGAGGCTAATTGATAAATTGAAAATTTATTGGAATTGAAGGAATTTAATTAATATATGGAGAATTGTTGCTTTTGAAGGAATTTAATTATTTCTATTGGGTAAAAAAAATCATTGTAAATTTTATAAATCAGATTGACCTAGATATTGCTATTTATATTTATATTTATTATTATTGACCCTTAGTGAGTGTCAAAGTCGGCCATCTCGTCTCTACCACTTCGAGATTAGGCTTGATACTTATTGGGTACACATTGTTTACGTACTCATACTACACTTGCTGCACTTTTTGTGCAGGACCTGAGGCAAGAACTAGTGGAGGACCTATCATCGTACACCCATGTTATCCATAGGCGTAGCGGTGATCTGCTTTTATGAACCGTTCTGAATCTACCAGTGTCTCTTCTTTTATTTGTATTCTATCTATTTTATTTCAGACAATATTTGGAGTTTGTATAATCTACTAGATGCTTATACACTTGTGACACTAGGTCTTGGCACACACCCTAGTAGAATGTTTGGATTTAAATTTTGTTCTTGGTTGTTTTATTTTACTAAATTCCTGCAAGTAAGAAGAGTTTAATTACTCGATTAATTTTTAAAAGAATTGAATATGGGTTTAAATTACCAGTTGGATTGCCTAGCTGTAGTGTTGGGCACCATCACGATCTATATGTGAAATTGGGTCGTGACAGCTATAACCTGTTTGTACCAGGTTTTAAGAATCGTTCAAGTTACAATAGCTTTACGTATAATAAAAATATGATTTTCCCCTAAAAAGTTGTGCAAGCATATCCTGTAATGTCTCCAATGGTGTGGCGCCCTTCCAAATTATCCAACATATCAAGTCTTGAATCTATGAATAAAGCCCCAAATTGTATGGGCTTGGCCCAAAATAAATAATATCACACAATGTTGATAGTATTTTTGGACTAGCTGAGCCCAACACCTAGGACCAAGATAATTTCCAAACTATATACGACAATTAAGAAAAATTTCACGGGAGCCCTATTTTGGTCGCTCCCACTTACCTTGGGCCGACTTTATAATTTTTTTTAATTATTATACAATATACAAATAACTTGAGACAAACTACTACTTTCTGTTTTCCTTCTCGTCCCTCTCCTTCTTTTTCTTATTTGCTGTGTAAACAGAAGTGACAATGGGCTTATATGGTGTTTGTGAGCAGGTTCTAAGGTAATTTATGATATTTTACGTTAGTGAGTTGTTGTGATACTCCTTTCTTTGCTACAACTTGGACTTGGTTGCAAGATGGATTTGTTAGATTTGTCGTTGATTTAATAAATTGACGATTCAAGTTTTTCTTTATGATATTTATGATTTAAATTTGAGCTTATTTGAAGTAAATTTGGGCATTATACCGTGTGTTGGATTATGAAAATTCGAAGAACAAGTTTCTGGTGTATGCAAAATATTGGCTGCAATTCAGAATAAAACGTGTTAACTACTTCTTAAATGCAATTATTGTAAGTGCATGCAAAAATTTAGTTGCACTTCGGACTAAAGCGTCGTAAGTGCAAACATTGCACTTAAAACTTATGCAACCAATTTTTTGCATGCACTTAAGACATTTTGTGTAAAGCCACAACATATGACTGTGACTTTCCAACTTCAGATAAAATTTGTAACTTTTAACGCGAATTGTGCTACATCAATCACGTACGTCTAAAGTTGTGTTCGAAATTAGTAAAATTAAATAAAAAAAATTAACTTAAGGACAACTTAGTGGCCCAAAAATCAAGTATCTGTGCACTTTCCCCAATTAGCCAACAAGCCCAATTTCTAAACTAATATAAGACAATTATATCCTTTATATTAAGCTGCGTTTATATAATCTTGAATTCGTCTCTATCGCCAACGTGAAATTTTCAGTGAACAGCGTGCAGACGCAATGATCTTAGTAATGGAAGCTGCACAAGAAGCCATTAACAATGAGTATTTCTACTGCCAAATATTTGACTTTTGGGATAAGACCATCACAAATTTGAAGCAAGTCTACAGTTGTGTATAATTCACTATCCTCCCAATTATCCAATGCATAATTGACTATCAAACTCATTAAAATTAATTTTACTTAGTAGTGGAGCTATCAATATCGGTTCACAACCAAGTTTGGACGAGAACTTTTGCATCCTCTTAAATACTGGAGTATGATAATATTGTACGATCTCTTATTGTTATGGTGAAGTAGTAAGTATTCCTGCTTAACCAGAGGTCTCTTGTACGATCAAACCACCTTTGTTATAAAGTACTTATCTCCCAATGTGGGATTTCTCAACGCAAATTCATATTTACTCAGACGGGTGTCGAATACTGTGTAAAAAACTAAAAAAAAGAAATCCTTGTAAGTCTAGACTAATTAATCAAGTTTAATTATATTCTGATTTTATTAAAGTGACGATCTGCATTCGGAACAAAGTCTATATTAAACTGTGCAATGTAATTTACCAAGATGAGTACTATTAGCTTGACAATGATATTAACCTTTAAACTTATAGCTGCCACAATATATCCAAAGTCTAAATTTATGGATATGGTGAGGCAGAATAGGGAAGCTGATTGCATAGGGGATCCGTTTTTTTATGTTTAAGCAGAATATCAAGAGGGTGTAGGCAACACTCTCAAAATGGAGTAGGGAAACATTTGGTGATATCTTCAAGCAATTGGCTATTTTGGAGGATATTGTTAGGGTGAAGGAGATGTTGTTTGAAGAAGAGCCTACAACTGAGAATAGGATTGTGCTTCAAAAGGCTCAATCTGAATTGAAGAAATACTTGAGTATTGAGGAGCAGTATTGGAAGCAAAAAGTTGGGATGACTTGGTTTGCTGAAGGAGATAGGAATACAAGTTTCTTTCACAATCATATCAATGGCAAAAGAAAGAAATTGCAACTGAAGAGGATTAAAAGTGGTAGTGGGGTATGGATTGAAGACCAGGAGCAATTGGCTATAACTGCAATGGACTTCTATCAAAAATGGTTCCCCAATGAAGGGGATGCTTCTGAATTTTCCTTGATCAATAATGTACCTTCAATGGTCACTATGGATCAGAATTTGGAACTTAGCAGATTGCCAACAATTGAAGAAGTAAGGGCAACAGTTTTTGAGCTTAGTGGGGAGAGTGCTAGTGGTGTCCTGATGGATTCACTGGCCTGTTTTATCAAACATGCTGGGATGTTATTGGTGCTGATATACACAACATGGTGCTACACTTCTATGGAGGAGCTGCATTGCCTACATCTATCACTCACACCAATCTAGTGTTGCTGCCCAAGAAACCTAAAGTTGAGACCTTCTCTGACTTAAGACTATTAGTTTGAGCAACTTCATTAATAAGGTCTTGTCTAGGGTGTTACATGACAGATTGGAGAGTTTTTTGCCATCTCTAATAACTCCTAATCAATTCAGATTTGTAAAGAGTAGGAGTATATTTGAGAACATCTTATTGACTCAAGAAATTGTCACTGACATAAGGTTAAGGGGAAAGCCAGCTAATGTGGTGATCAAGCTTGATATGGATAAGGCCTATGATAGAGTTTCATGAAAGTACTTATTGCATGTGCTAAGGAAGATGGGATTTTCTGAACACTTCATCAATATGGTGTGGAACTTGATGTCAAATAACCGGTATTCAGTATTGGTGAATGGGCAGTCCTTAGGGTTCTTTAAGTCGACAATGGGTGTGAAACAAGGGGATCCCTTATCTCCAGCATTGTTCATTCTGTCAGATGAGGTACTTTCCAAGTCTTTAAATAAGCTCTTTGAAGACAAGTCATATATGGGATTTGGAATGCCTAAGTGGTCTGATCCTTTAAATCACTTGGCATATGCTGATGATACGATAATCTTTACATCTGCTCATCTTCCCTCCTTGAGCAAGATTATGGCAGTGTTGGAGAACTATGAGAAGATATCAAGCCAGATGATCAACAAAGATAAGAGTTCATACTACATGCATTCAAAGGTTGCTAATAGATTGTTTCAGGTAGTTGGAGCTATTACAGGATTTGCAAGAGGTAAATTCCCCTTCACATATCTAGGGTGTCCTATTTTTTACACTAGAATGAGGAAGGACTATTATGAGGATCTTATCAGGTGAAGGCTAAATTGCATTCTTGGAAAGAAAAGCTGCTGTCATTTGGAGGAAAGGCAACACTCATCTCTAGTGTATTGCAAAGTATTCCAGTTCACATGTTATCGGTCCTTGATCCGCTAAACAACATCCTGGAGCATCTACATAAGACTTTTGCTAGGTTCTTTTGGAGCACAAAGGAAGAAGGGATAAGCAGACACTGGGCTTCGTGGCAAACTCTTTGCCTTACTAAAGAGGAAGGGGGCCTAGGTTTTAGGTCCTTGCATGATGTCTCAAGGGCACTGTTTGCTAAGCTATGGTGGAGATTTGGGACCATAAAATCATTGTGGTCTAATTTCATGTGGAATAAGTATTGCAGGAAGGAGCTACAAATAGTGGTGCATTTTAGGGGAGGGTCACATGTTTGGAGACAAATGCTGAATGCTAGGGAAGAAGTAGAACATGAGATCGTATGGGAATTGAAGAGTGGAACCACTAATATTTGGCATGAAAATTGGACTGGATTGGGTGCACTTTATTACGTATTATCTGAAGACTTTTCAATCAATGAAGGTCTTCAAGAGGTGGCAGAACTGCGAAAATGGGAAGCATGGGATGATTAGCTGCTAGATCAAACATTCAATGAGGAAATTATAGAACATATAAGGCTAAATGTGTACTATGAAGGAAGTGAGGGATATTGGGATAGGCCATACTGGATGCCAACTCCTTCAGGCAAGTTCAGTGTTAGCAGTGCTTCTCAAATATTAAGGCATAGGGCTGATCCTAATCAGGACTTCAAGTTAATATGGATTAAAGGTTTGCCATTCAAGATATCCTTCTTCTTGTGGAGATTGTGGAGGCAAAAAATAGCCACCGATGACATGTAGAGGAGGCAGGGGGAAATGGTGATTTCTAGGTGTTGGTGTTCTCAGCAGCCCCAAGAAGAATCCATTGAGCATATATTTGTCACAAGTCCTACTGCCTCTAAGGTATGGAACTTGTTCACGGGGGCTGCTGGAATTACTGTACAATTGATTCAATTGAAGCATATTATAAGGCATTGGTGGTATGCTTAGTGTTGTCCATAATTAAAGCCACTATTTTAGGCAGTACCAGCTATCATCACTTGTGATCTATGGAAGAGAAGAAATGTAGGTAAACATGGGAGTTCAGTGTCCACAAATAGGGTGATTCATGAGATAAATAGGACATTGCATCAACTGGCAAAGGTGAGGTATGCTTGGATGCCTAATATTCCATTGTTATGGCCAGACATGATTCAATACTTTAAAGGATATAAACCTATATTGATCACTACAAGAGTAACATGGCAGCTTTCTTTTCATGGTTGGTACAAATGTAATACTGATAGAGCTTCAAAGGGCAATCCTGAACCTAGCTCCCTAGGCTTTTGTATGAGGGATGATGAATGTGATGTGGTTTATGCTAGGGCAGTAGACCTGGGAGTGACAACTAATGTGGTAGCTGAAGCTAAGGAAATTCTTCAAGGGTTGGAATACTGTGTGAATCATGATCTTCACCCTCTCATATTGGAGACTGATTCATTGGTGATGAAGAAGGCGATAGAAGGGGAATGAGATCCTTCTTGGGTAATTGCACAGGATGTGAAGAAAATTATAAAGATGAAGGACAACTTCAATGTGATCTTTCAACATGTGTTCAGAGAAGGCAACTTAGTGGCGGATTTTATAGCTAACATTGTGCTCTTTTTTGCAGGTACATCTGAGTTTCATTCATTCTATGAACTGCCTAGTGCAGGGAGGAGGTTGATCAATCTAGACAAATCTCAATCACCTAACCTTAGGGTTAGGATAACAAAGAGAAGAACCCAGACTGATGGCTTCACAGGATTGGACTATGCACAAACCTGCATGTTTCTTTGTCTCATTTAGTATGCTATTAAGGTACTTTCCAATGGTATTAGCATGGTCCCATGATCATTCTGGGGGTACTTTGATAGTGTACAGAAAAAATGCGATAAGCAGGTGTGGGACGATACAATTTATCCTACTTCTGATATGACCAAATGCTAAGGAATATGCTGAACCCATCATATGTTATTTTTGGAGATTGTTAAATCATTTCTCAGTGGTATTATCATGCTTTCATGCTCAATCTAAGGATGGTTTAGCAATTTTTAGAATGATGTCTACATTAAAGGTTCTAGTAGGGAAGGATCTAAGCTTACAAGATCACAAAAAGAAACAATTTCAAAGCCTGGCCTTTGCCTTGGAAAGCCTGCTTAAAGATAACTCATTCCTGGCTTTTTCCTTGCAAAGCCAGCCTAAAGCCAGCTCATGCCTGGCTTTTGCCTTGCAAAGCCTGCCTAAAGCCAGCTCAAGCCTGACTTTTGCCCTGCAAAGCCTGCCTAAAGCCAGGCTCCTCTTATACACATTAATTTTGATGAGTGAGCATATGATTAATACTTGGACAAAATCAGTCCACTGCATATGGAGATCATATAGTAGCTACACTTGGAAGACTATGCTGGCTTCAACTCTGTGGTGGAGATGTTTGGAATTTATTTTAGCCTATGGACAATATACCCTAGCGCCTGGTGAGAGCTTGATAGGTGCTGCTTGGTATTTTTCAATGATAATTGGATTCACATACACTAATAGGAGAAGGAAGCATTCAACTTATTATATTGTAATTACTAGTTCATTAGATTTTAGCTTTTCTATCTTTTTAATAGCTAGTAGCTTCATGCAACTTCTATTCTGTTTTGGACATCTTGTAAGCCTTGGACTCATTTTGGGATTTTTTTTTATATATTAGCCACTAGGCAAGTGATGCCGAGTGGTATAGTTGCTTAAAAATAAAAACTAAAACAAAAGATTTTCGATTTTTGTGGCCTAAATCTGTCATTCATGCTTATTCAATAGATGATTATATTCTTTAAGTGTCTTTTATACATTGATTACACACAATTATATATACACATATTAAATGTGAATTTATATATATATATATATATATATATATATATATATATATATATTATGTGGACGACTATTTGGTAAATAAAACAAGTACTCTTACATTGTCTTCTTCATAAGCATCATTTGCAAATTGTGGAGATCTTGCAAAATACATGGTACTATTGGTACTAGACAAGTTGAGAGNCCCCTTAAATTTGGGGGCCTAAAACATATGCTTTAGTAGCTTCGCCCTAAAGCCAACGATGTCTTGTCATTACACTTTTTTTTGAGCTTGGAATTCTCATCTTGTTCAAAGTGTTTTAATTATTCAACTCAGCTTCCTTAATTACATCAATTGTTGCTCATAAACCACAACTAATTATCTCAAATAAAGACAGATCCAACAAATGCTTCTCTCTTCCTTTTATAATTTGAGGAAGAAAAAAAAAGAAAAGGGAAGCTAGCTAGTTATCTAGAATATCCAAATAACATCAAAATTGTGGTTTCAGAAGATGGAATGTCTAATGCATTTTCACTCGGAGAACTTATTGGATAACGAAAGATAGGGCAAGAATGACCAATCTTTAACCAGGTTGTAATGTAATCTGGGTGAAACATATGAGAGCAAGGCATGCACATAAACTCTCTCCCCTGTCGAAGCTTTTCAAAACAGATGACATAGTCATCATTCAGAATATTATCACCAATATCGATATTGTTATTCGACTCATTTGTCGCAGATCGTAATTTGATGCTAAGTTCTCTGACCTCAACTGGGATAAGAGCTTCGGCGTTATAAACCAATGAGAATGGTGTCGTTGTACTCCATTTTGATGTCATGCGGTATGCCCATAGGAATTCGGGCAGTATTTCTCTCCATCTTCATTTAGCATTGGTTAATCGTTTCTTAAGATTTTGGATGATGGTTTTGTTGGTTGATTCGACTTGTCCGTTCCCGCTGGGATGATACAGTGTTGACATGGTCCTTTTTGTGGTCTTCGAAAATTTTTGTTACTTTGCTTCCGATGAATTGTTTTCCATTATCACATACAATTTTGGATGGCATACCAAACCGACATATGATGTGGTCCTAAATAAAGTCTATTACTTCCTTTTATCTAACTTTCTCGAAAGCCTGTGCTTCAACCCATTTAGAGAAATAATCAGTCATAAACAAAATAAATTAAGCCTTATTTGGGGCCGATGGGAGGGGCCCGATGATTTCCATTCCCCATTTCATGAAAGGGCCAAGGAGATAGGACCAAGTGGAGAAGTTCCCCGGGTTGATGAATCATGGGCGCATATCTTTCACATTTTTCGCATTTTTGAACGAACTCCCTTGAATCTTTGTCCATATCGATCCAATAATATCCTGCTCTAATTATTTTGTGGATAAATGAATCGGCACCGAAATAATTCCCACAAGTGCCTTCGTGAATCTCATGTAGGACATAGTCGGTATCTACCGGTCCCAAATATATTGCCATTGGACCATCGAACGTCCTTCTAAACAACGTTCCATCATTGGATAAGGTGAACCGTGCAGCTTTCATGCGTAGAGCTCTCGACTCCTTTGGATCCGGTGGAAGTTTGCCATTTTTGAAGTACTCTATATATTTGTTTCTCCAATCCCCGGTTAGACTTGTGGAGTTGATCTCGACATGACCTTCTTCGATTACTGATTTCGAGAGTTGCACGACAGTCCCCGAAGTATATGTTCCAAAGTCCATTCTTTGAATCGATGTAGAGTTACTTGTAATTTATCTAAGTGCCTCTACATTCGATCTTCTCGAACTTCAAAAGTCCCATTGACTTGATTTACCACGAGGAGGGAATCACATTTAGCCTCCACGATCTCGGCCCCCAAACTTCTATCTAGTTCGAGACCTGCAATCACGACCTCATACTCGGCCTTATTGTTAGTCAATTTTGTAGTTTTAATATACTGTCTAACTACATTACCTGTGGGCGATTTCAGTATGATGCCCAGTCTGGACCCCTTTGCATTTGAGGCACCGTCCGTAAACAGGATCCAGATTCCCGGAGAGGCACATGATTTTATTAGTAATTCTTCTTCAGTTTCAGGTACGAAGGCCGGCGTAAAGTTAGCCACGAAGTCTGCTAAGATTTGAGATTTGATAGCGGTTCGAGGTCGATACTCAATGTCGTACCCGTCGATCTCTATGGACCACTTGGCCAATCGACCTGAAAGCTCAGGTTTGTGTAAAATATTTCGTAAAGGATAAGTCATTACAACATGTATCAGATGGAACTGGAAATATGGTTTTAGTTTCCTAGAGATACTTATTAAAGCAAGCGCTAATTTTTCCAAGTAAGGATATCTAGTTTCGGACTCACCTAAAGTTTGACTGACATAATAAATAGGGAATTACGTACCTCGTTCTTCTCGAATTAGGACTCCACTTACCACTATCTCCGAGTTCATTTGCCTTTGGGGTATGAAGCAATGGAGGGCTATATAAGTACCATTTTAGCTCTTCCAAATCCTGCTGACATTCCGGAGTCCATGAAAAATTGCTTTTCTTTTTAAGTAGGGAGAAAAATCGGTGGCTCATGTCCGATGATCTTGAAATAAATCGTACCAGGGCAGCTATCCGTCCAGTTAGCCTTTGTACGACCTTTACATTATCTACCACTGTGATATCTTCTATTGATTTGATTTTATCGGGGTTGATCTTGATTCCTCGATTGGATACCATGAAGCTGAGGAAGTTACCCGAGCCAACTCCGAATGCACATTTTTCGGGATTGAGCTTCATATTATACTTCCTTATAATGTTGAAAGTTTCCTAAAAATGCTTTAAATGGTCCTCTATTCGCAGGGATTTAACTAACATGTCATCAATATAAACTTTTATTGTTTTTCCTATATGCTTTTCGAACATTCGATTCACTAGGCGTTGATAAGTTGCACCAGTATTTTT